AGACCTCTTAAATGAATACTAATATAAGAAATCTAGTTAATATTTTAACTAAATTACCAAATCTGGGACCATCGTCATCTCGCAGAGAGGTTATCCATTTACTAAAAACAAAGAGAGAGTTATGCTGCTACTTGCATCTTTAATGAAAGAGTTAGTACGCCAGATAATAGAATGCGAGATGCGTGGTAATTTAGTGCGCAATCTCCATGTGCTATCTATATCAACCCAAAACGCGACTCTAAATTAGAGTGTATGGTGGAAGAATTAGGTGATTTATGGTCCTTTGAAAAAGGTAGTATATATTCAGGTCTGTATCATGTTTTAGGTGGTAGATCATCTGCAATCAATGGCGGGGGACCAAAAGAACTTAATCTTGATACTATTCGAAAAAGAGTAAAGGATCTGCAAATTCAAGAAATAATCATTGCTATTAATGCGACCTTAGAAGGCCAAGTTACCGCACAATATATTATTGAATTACTAAAAGATTGAAACGTTAAAATATCTCGTCTTGCTTGTGGCATACCAATGGGAGGGGAAATGAATATCTTGATGAAGAAACACTGCAGGTAACCTTAACTTCAAGGCAAGGTATTAAATAGACCTCCTTCGAAGCTGGTGGAAGTTTTATCGTTGATACACTACTCCTCTATCATAAAACGGTTGCGCAAGAACTCTAATTACCATAATTTATTTTCTTTTAGTAAATTATTGCTATAAAATGGTAACAAAAACATGTTCTATGTGTTTGTATTTTAAAAAGCTAACCTCAATAATAAAACGAAAAAGAAAGTAACACCTAGCGAAAAAGGCTTGGCAAAATGATTACCTAGGCTGTAAACAACTTACGTGTAGGTTCAGCACTATAATAAAAAACAATCAATAACTCTTATTATAATATCTTTGAAGGGATAAAGTGGATGGGAAAACTTTCCTCCTGGTGGAAGAATGGATTAAGGATTTTAAACACAAAACGAAATTGCAATTTATTATAGCGTATGAAATATAAATGCATTAGATCAGCCTCTGGGCTATATGAGCCAAAATTCAAGCAAGCTATATGGGAGTACCACGAAGTTGAAAAGCCCATGAAAAACTGTTGCAGCCTTTCAAATCTAGAAAAAATGCGCCTAAAATACTTTATTTTACCAAAAAAACACTCGATTAACGGGAGAAGTTATTCAGGTAAAAAGAAAACGAACGCGATGAAAACAAAAATCATAATCGAAGAAAGTGCGCAAATTTTGTCAGTTTCAATGTCACGTCGAGGTCGAATGCATGATTTTCACATGCGAAAGTAGGAAAATTATTACCAAAAGATAGCATAAAATATGCTGATCCTGCTATCAAAGCCGGTAAAAACTACAGAAAAATGTGGTGATTCCATACAAAAAAAATATAGAAAAAAAACCGCTAACATCTAAC